ACATCAATCATCAATACTTCATCATTATCATAATTTTCATTAGTAAATCATCATCATGGAGACATCATAATCATCATCAGGAGATTATCATCGCCATTAACTTCATCATCATCATCACCATTAGGATATCATAATCATCATCGTCTTAACATCATACTATCAACATTATATAAACCGAATGAGATAAAGAATTCCACGTTCTTCACGTTTAAAACACAATTTAGCGGACATAGGACTTCTTATAATTTAGCAAAGATTTTGATGATGAAGGCGATAATAATAATGTTTATAATGATATAGGTGATGACGAAGTTGATAAATTTGAGCTTGATGATGAAAGATGTGATAATAATGTGATTTTAAGATTATAATGGGGAAAATATCATTGATGATTACTATAATTTGAATGCTGATTATTGGTGTGATGATCAATTTGAAGATGATTTTGCCGATGATGGCCGTGATAAGGATGATGATGAAGGTTGTGATCATTCTAATTCTTATGAGATGATAATGATGATAAAGGCGATGTGTCGCGAGAGCTTTCTTCGTTCAAACCAATATATATGTGTCAATCATTAAATTAGTCGAGCGCGATGATTTTTCTGACAGCTTTTGTTTATCGTATATTCATCTTAAATTATTTGCTTAAACTGATAATATTTCACTTTAAACTAAACCATCACAACACCACAGTACTTAAATGATAATTATAATGATATCATTATAAATGTAATATGATACTGACGGTTACCCGAGCTTTCAAAGTGATTTGGACATTTTGTAGGGTTCTTTTATTCTTGTTTTGTTAAGAGATGTATTGTCTAAAAGACTCACACATTTACAGAAATTCACTAACTGCTTGTAAACATTACTAACTGCTGATCAGCAGATGTCACAAGTACAGTAAAACAAGACCATGTCTGTTAAGTTATTAAACAAATGCATATTCTAAGCGAACACATACATAATTATACTAAACGAGCACATACATATACTAAACGAACACATACATACACTAAACCCCTAGCGGTTGACCTTTTTAGCCATTTTATATGATAAATTTGTGCGTATAGATGCGGATTTCGTCTTGTTGAAATTATTATTATTGTTCAGCAGAAAGTGCGGGCTTTATTAAATTATATTTAAATCGGTGATAAAGAAAATTGCAGTACAAAGTTAAAGTCATAGTAACTAGGAAGACCTTGTTAACAAATAAGATTCGGATAGATTCTCGGGGTTCATATACTAGTTTCTTCGCAAATGACCGAGTACTAATCTAGCATGATTTCTGAATCAAATAAGCGGTGAGAGATATTTTGTTGTCAGACTCAATGTCGCCCAATATCGAACCACCAACCTCTGCATTAAAAGGCCGATGCTCTAACTATTGAGCCTTAAGGGCGGGCTAGATCTTTATGACTCATATGTTTACAGCATTAAAACAATACAGTTATATTTTTTGAAACCCGTCAGTTTGGAAAGCTAATGAAACTGACCGCGTGACTTGTCGTCGTGTCACAAATCATGTGATATGGTGTCGTGATATTCACGTGATGTTGGACGAGGTGGGGGGGGGGGGGGGTTTTCAAACTGAAACATTGTCTGGGTTTGATAAGAAGTCATATGATACAGCTTGAAACAATTTACTATATTTACTATACGATCAAACACTTTAAAGCAGCTTGCCCCTAGATTCATGTTATTTTTTTTGTATTTCTCGTACATTCTTTTAAAATGTATCTTAAGGTAAAATATTTTGAAGTGAACAAAGAAAGTTATTTAAGCATTGTAAACGGCACTTAAAATCTACGATGATTACCAAAAGTAGACCAGAATATGCAAAATATACCCTTTACTGCGTTAGTCACTCAGTATAAAATATGCTCATAAATACTGTAAAATAAGTCATTTATTGTATTTTATATGTAAATTATTTCTTGAATTGTGAAAAGTTTTACTTTTTTTAAAAAAAATGTTAGTACGCTTTCTCAAGTTTTTCTTTTTTTAAAAATATTTTGGCCCTTCTGGAGGCATGTAAAAATATGGCATTTAAACGTTTAAAGTAACTAGAACTATCGCTGACAGAAGACAGAAGACAACTTGGAAAGATGGTTAAGGGAGTAACTTAAGTGGCAGAAATACATAAAAAGAAATTATTTCTGGTGAAAAAAGACTAATTGTACAGGTAATAGTATAAATATGTATTATCAAATCATGTTCGAAACAGTTACAAATAACCTTTCATTTTCCCAATGTACTTAACATTTTATAAGTCAATTTTTGACCTTCAAGTTTGGCCTTGACCTTAAGCTGGCACAAAGGTAAGATGGGTTTTGCACATCGCCCAGTTGGGGTGAACATTTGAGTAAAGTTTGAAGAAAATCCTTCCATTAGTATAGAATTTATAGAGCGGACACAACATATTGTCTAGTATCGATTGTATGTAAATTTAAAGACTTAAAAAGGGGCATAACTTTGTCAAAATGCAATACAGAGTTATGAAACTTGACCTGCATAACTTATTTGTGACACCTCATATATCTTTTAAGTTTCAAGCAAATACCTGTGCTAGTTTCAGAAATATTTAAGTACATGTTAAAATTTAAGAACATTTTCTAAGTCAATTTTTGACCTGCAAGTGTGACCTTGACCTTTAGCCGGCACAAAGATGATATGGATTCTGCACATAACCTTGTTGAGGTGAAAATTTGAGTAAAGTTTGAAGAAAATTCTTCCATTAGTATAGGATTTATAGAGCGGACACGACATATTGTCTAATATTTGATTGTATTGTAAATTTGAAGAGTTAAAAAGGGTCATAACTTTGTTAAAATGCAATAAAGAGTTACGAAACTTGACCAGCATATCTTAATTGTGACACTTCATATATATTTTAAGTTTCAAGCAAATACCTTTTCTAGATTCAGAAATATTCACATAAATGTTAAGATTTAAGAATATTTTCTAAGTCAATTTTTGACCTTCAAGTGTGACCTTGACCTTAAGCCGGCAAAAGGGTGACATGGGTTCTGCACATTACCTTGTTGAGGTGAACATTTGAGCCAAGTTTGAAGAAAATCCATCAATTAGTGCAGGACTTACAGAGCGGACACGCCATATTGTGTAATATTTGACTGTCTGATATTTGACCTTCAATTGTGACCTTGACCTTGAGCTGACACATGGGCAAAATGGGTTCTGCACATCCCCTTGTTGAGGTGAACATTTGAGCCAAGTTTGAAGAAAATCTTTCAATAAGTGTAGGACTTATAGAGCGGACACGACATACTGTCTAATATTTGATTGTTTGATATTTGACCTTCAATTGTGACCTTGACCTTAAGCTGACACATGGGCAACATGGGTTCTGCACATCCCTTTGTTGAGGTGAACATTTGAGCCAAGTTTGAAGAAAATCTTTCAATTAGTGTAGGACTTACAGAGCTGAAACGACATACTGTCTAATATTTGATTGTGATTGATATTTGACCTTCAATTGTGACCTTGACCTTGAGCTGACACATGGGAAACAAGGGTTCTGCACATCCCCTTGTTGAGGTGAACATATGAGCCAAGTTTGAAGAAAATGCTTCAATTGGTATAGGAGTTATAGAGCGGACACGAAAATGGAGACGGACCGACGGACGGACCGACGCGACAAAGCGAATCCATTATAGCCCCCCCCCCCCATTTTGTGGTGGGGGTATAAAAAAATAAAATAAAACTTAACATATCAAGAGAAGACAAAAACACATATCTTTTCAACTAAAATCATTTCAGAAAATCAGTACGAGTTTGATGAAGGTAAATATTTGTGACATTTTGTTACCTAGAGCAACAAACATGTCTGTTCTTTAACTTTTCGAACAATTCACTACTCTGTTGTTAAATAATACAGAACATGAAATATATGGGGTTTCATACAAAAATGTACTTGTTGCTTTGATATATAATTTAGAAGCAAATACAGTGGACTTCCGCGAAAATTGCTTACTGTGAACGTTGCTATTTGGTCTCATACTTAAAGTATTTAGTACTTCTGTCAAATAAATTAATTGTATACAGAATATCTTTTATACGTTTTTTAGTAATGATTAGTTATGTGCGCAATGCAATCATATTCATACAATGCAATTAACATTACAAAATTCTAAATCATTAAATGATTCCGGACATGCCACAATTAAAGACGAGTGATTGACGGCGCTGTTCACAACCTTCAGGACCTTTTTAATTGACATTGGAAGTTATGTTTGGTCTAAGATATCCGCTTGTACATGAAATAGTGCTCGATCGCGGCAGGACACCGTCAGTCTGCTCCAATAAAAAAGGTACAGACATATGCTCTCCGAATCAGGAACCAAAGGGACATGTGCAAGACAAGAACATACAGGCAGTCATAAAGTAGGCACATTTTATTTTTTATAAAAAAATAAAGATGTACAGTAAAATTTTTCTGAAAGATAATTCAAAAACGGATTAAAATAGAGTTATGGTTCTTTGGCATTGCATTCCGCCCCAATGCCCCCTACCACTGTGTGCAGTTTTATTATGTCCAAGGGTTTTCATGGTTTGCTCCAGACAAGCACAGCGGACGGACATACATACAGATGGACAAGGTGGTGACTATATACTCTCGGGGAGCATTAAAACCTACAAAGTCGTTATTGTGACCTTCAATATGTCAGCGTGACATTAAAGTTAGTCAAGATTACGAGATGAACTGTAGACATTTTATAATTTCAGTCAAACAATTGACCTGTTAAGTTTGTTAAATTCGATGTATACAAACGACTTATCTTCACTAAGTATGTATGCATTATCAATATTATCACATTACTATCATATCTATTATCATAATATGTAAAGTACTATGATAGTTAAGAACAATCCGGAAATAATAAGAAAGTTGTCCATTTTCAAGAACTTTAAATTTAAAAAAGCCCCAAAATTCGACATTGCTTTTATTGGACAGACGTAAAGAAAACAAGAAAAACAAGAGTTTTAAAACTATTTATATCAATCATACACATCAGATAGTTAATAATGAAAGATACATATGATAAATTAATATTAGGAAAGGTTAATAAATGTGACATTTTTTAATCATTATGTAACCGACAATGAGTCTAGCCTTTTATCTAAGCAAGAGAGCCATGATGGTCCTGGATCACTCACCTGAGATATTTATATTCTTCAATGCAAACATTATTAATGAAGTCATGTTTGGTTGTCATTTTTATAAATTTTACAGAAGTCTCCCAGGAAATACTGAAAGTCAAATATATTGTTTTACTATCTAAGTCTATTTTAATTTAGTGGCCAAAAAGACTGGACCTTTTTTGACACCGGGGGCTTTAGTTAAATCACTTGTGTGAAAGACCACAGAGTGATGATATATGCCTTATATCTAAACTCTGGTTTTTGCAATTCATATATAGAGAAAACTTAAAAGTGTTTTCCTATGTAAGTCTAAATAAATGTAATTAAGTTGAGTCAAATTAACATTGCAGTGTTTTGCCGCAGTTTATTTATTTATATTTACATATTTATGAAATATAACATGGATACACACCATTTTGGCGCTGTACCAAAACACATATTTACTGTTCGGATAACAATTTGACCTTATAAACTATACGATAAAACTTGAATTTGTTATTGTATGTAAATATATTAAAATTTAGTATCTGTAAAATTCACAGCGTTAACAGCTCAGCATTTGATGAGGTTTATTTCTATTATTATTTATATAATGAAGATGTTTGACCAGTAAGGTCTTTACAAAAATGGCAGTTTGCAAGTAAAAGCTGACAGGCGAGGGTTATATTGCAAAACAACAGTTTAAAAACAGCCATATAAGGTGTCAAGAATCTTTATAATATTTTTTTTATATAACATACTATTTTTTATTTTGGGGAAAAAATGAAAATACTTCATTAAATTTTATTGACAACAGCCATGTATACAGTTAACTTAAACGTCACGATTTATCAATGAAAAAACGACACTACAAACGTGCTGTATTATGAAAATTCGTACGATAGATAGGTCGAGTATCAGTCACAGTTGTGGTCAAACATGCTTCAATGTATGATTTATATCACCAATATGTTATCATGTCAAGCATTAAATGATATAAAGCAACATTAAAGTGTTGAATTCGATGAACAGGTCACTAACATGGTTGTTGAAATAATTCAGACGATTTCTTCTTTTTTTTTACATTTTTTACAGGTGTGCTTTTTTACAATTTAGATGACTAACAAATAATGCACGTTTACTGTGATACATATAAAGATGACAATTTTCTGTTGAATAGTTAACTATTTAGGATGTATGTGCATACAAGCAAAACTGGGTATAAAATATACGCAGAAAATATGTTTGGTTCTTTTGATAAATATATGAAGTCACTTTTTTACATTTTTATGTAAATTCATGTAGATCTATATATGCTTTAAATTTATTGCACGCTCCTTCCATGACCATTTTCCGAATACTCGAAGATGTATTTCAGCGTATATTTAGTACAAATGAATATATTCATGGGAATGTCAGTAAATTGCAAGTATATAAGTAAATGATTATTTATCACTTTCATGGGAAGTGTAGTTCGAGGGTTACAGGAAGCAACGCCATTAATAAATTGCACGATGCCAATCAACCAGCTGTACTCTTTGCAATTCAACTTCAGTCCCTTTTGCTCTTTCTTGAGACATGCACACACATTTTAGAAATTCCTTTTTGCGTTAAATCATTTTGTTCCGTTACATTAAAAGAAAAGGAAATAATGGACAAACAAACGTTTTCCTTTACAGCGATAAGTATATAAAATATCTTTTTTTATCTACAGCTCATCTTTAAATCCGACATGCTTACTTATTTTAATGTTAAAACCATTTGATTCGTCCTCAACACTTGGTTTTTCTTTCGAGCGTTCTTTTACATCACGTAAAATTTCAAAACGTTTCTCTTCGATTTGTATGACATCTGCCATTTCCGCTTCCTGTTGATTCTGCGCCATATTGTTGCCCGGAAGGTCATGTCTAAAGTTTCCATTGATAACGAATAAGAATTGTAAAATAGATGTGTAGTTCATTTTTCCAAATTTTTCTTCTTCAAATCTGATAGCATCAATCTGATCAGCTTCTCCATTCTTGGTAACAATAACAAACAGTTCCGGGGGATTTATGTACACGCCTTTTAGTCCAAGACTATGTAAATCTTCGCTAGTAGGGCGAACGAGTCTTCCAAACAAGAAATACTTTTCAAATCTTTTTGCAATGGCTTTGAATACCGTGGGTGTTTCGTCCTCGTCTGAAAATTAATCTCAAAATATTAGCTATGAAAAGAATATTTTTAACGTTTTCTTGTAAAATTATACAAAAAACATTTTCGTAGCAATTTGTATCCAGATCAGCGTTTGATGATAATACCAGGCCCTGATGATCAAACAGGCCCAATGTCTAAAAGAAGTGAAAATTGTTTTTGTACGTTTATATTTCATTAACGTCAATTTTAAACCTGTCTTAGATTGACATTGTTCAGATACGAAAATAAGTGTTCGCATTTGTTATCCTCTTGCTTTACTTGAGATTCTGAAAATATATAAATAGGAAGGACACTCTCCATAGATTTTCTTCATTTTGAGCCCGTTAAATATAATCATCTGAGTCTGGCATTATTATGAAGCCCTGGTGATATGGATACGTGTATACCGGGATGATGATTTATTAAGTTCAATATATCAATTAGTCTGTAAAAATTGTCTTGCAATTAATTTTTGTCCGCATTTTCATAATATAAACATGTATATACTATAGCCATGCACTACAATGTCAAATGTTTGATCCCTTTCATTGCAAATACAGTAAACTTCACTTATAGCGAAAACGGTTATAGCGAATTTCCGGTTATAAGGAACATTTTTTGGCCCGAATTTTCTGCCCTTCTTTAATAAAAATATACGGTTGAAGCGAACACGGTAATAAGGAATTATCGCTTATAAGGAACTCATTTCTTAGTTCAAATTTAGTTAAAAGTACAGAAATTGCACGTCTATAATGAACTCAAAAATATCGGTCATTCGTCAATAGACTTTCGTTTTCATTGGCACGGATGGAAACTCGGCCGAATGTATATGTACTTCAATACAGCTGTAAAAATGAATTTGTATAGCAGTACATAATAGTTTTCTATTAAAGATGGTTTAAACATATTTATTTAAGCTCGATTGCGAAACAAGTTCTTGCAACTTATATTAATCACTTTCGAGTCCGCTTCCTGGAACCAACCAGTACTGGTGTCATATGGAGAAACATGGTCGTGACCCGAGTACGGCTCGAACCCATGATCTCTGGGTTGAGAGGCAGACACCTTAACCACTAGGCCACCGCTCCCCTTAAAGATATTTTTAGCAAGAGATCTTGTCACCAAGATAAAACAGTTATTCCTTTTATTCTATTATTTCCTTTCTCGTATAAATAATTATGATTATTTATAATCGATTTTCAACATAATAATGCATGCTATTCCTTGCTAATCCATTGAAAACTACAAAGTACGCTTGATTGAATGAAAAGAAATCTATATCTTTAAAAAGTAAAGTCATCCTTAAAATATAATAGAAGCTATAAAATATAAAAGGAAGGAAAAATCGAAAATCATAATTATTCTTCATCATGGAAAAAAACTAAAAGCACTGAGTTTAGAAACAAAATATGATATTTTATTGAGAAAGGGAGTAAAACTTAATATTGAAACTGAAATAGCAAAGGATAATTAAAGTCCAAAAAGTACGCTCTCGGGTATTGTGTCTAAAAAAGAAATAAATGACTATTTTGTGATAAACAAATGCTCTTCGAAATGGAGGACGATGGTAAACAATCAATTCGTTATTTGTAAATATATTCGCTATAAAAACTTCTGATACGAGGAACCAATTCGCTATATGCTTACAAGGAACTTCGTATATAAGGAACAGATTCTGAATAGTTCTTTATAGCTCATAAGATAGCTGGTTCTTAATGCTGATGTTTTCCATGGGCAGACACAATTACACGGTCATTTCTTATAAAAGAGTAAAGGTTACGCTAGATAATCAGGTTGTTCGTGTACCTCGTGCAATTCCCCTTTTAAAATATATTTTATATTAAATTCAATATGATTTTCTGCTAAACATTCATTTTGTATTCTCATCGTTTAACATACCCGTAATAATATAAGCTGGAAACTTTGACGGTAGTGAGGTGAAAGATTCAAGCAAGAGATCACGTATACTATCTCCCGAAATTCTTTGAGTTTTATCCGGAAGTGATGCCAATGCTTCAACACGAGCCTCGTTCTGGTTATTTACTCGACGCCAGTTTCTTTCCTTCGTTTTCCTGTCACCGTATGGATAAAATCTCGCAAGGTCGCGAGAAGAATCATATTCCTGAAATAAGAAAATATCATATATACATGCTTTACCGCGACCATCAAAAATATATGTACCAAGAAAAAGCTTAATTTGTGTAAAGCAATCATTAAAAATTAACAAAGTACTGAGCGTTATAATACAGAGCGAAAAGCGGCACTTACTCTACATGTATTTACAGGCAGTGACAAAGACGCACATTCGTCTTTCTTTTTCATATCTTAATTGTTGGTTTGTCATGCTATAATTATTACTAGTACCTTTCTATTCAAGCAGCGATTAGAAGTACATAGTTTTTTATGCTAATTCGGGTTATTATAAAAGCATTTTTACAAATTATTCACCACTTAACCATTTTACTTAATAATTATCGTAATAATAAACTTCTAAATGAAATCGGTAGATTTCTAAACTAAGATAAATGTCAGTTTGTTTACTCTATGATCAGTTCGGCGACGAGTTCATTAACTGAAGAATTTTCATGAAGAAGAAAGAAATCGTATGATTAGCTTATGAACTGTAAAAATAAAGCAAATTAAGTCCTATTTTTTAAAGAAATTATTTCAACCTAAAAATTAATGACTTTTGAAATAATTATGAAATCGTATATTATACGACTCCTCCATTTTAAATACCGTTAAGTTTATCTATACGTGGCTATATATCATTTGCTCAAGATCGCATATTACAACTTCCTTGTTTAATACACAAACAATATACCTACAAGTGTATCAAGTAAATCTTTCTCAGCGGTAACATCTACAAGTCCAAACCAGCATAAACCACGTAGATGTGTTGCCATTGTCTTCCACTCCTTCTCCACAGATCCATCATGAAAAATTAGTATCCATGGATCTCGGTTCCTTAACAGATTTTTCGTAAAATTTTCATTTGTCAGGGGAAATAAATCCTGGTACCTTTCGTCAGGCGAAAATACAGGAGTTTTACCCTCAGTTGTTTCCTCCCGAGTTCCTGGTTCTTCCACCAAAACATAATTTGTACAAAATATCCATATAACAAACATATTTACAAGTAAATTCGCCATTTTCAACATTCTTAACTTTCAAATATTTAAATAAAGTATTTTTACGCAGCAAAATCAATACACTTAGCAGATAACATTAACTGGTTGTATATAGAACAACCGTTAATTTAACCCTTGGACTACATGTAGTTACTATTTTCTGAAGTTTAACCATTCGGATTTATAACGATAAGGAAGTTTGCATGTCTGAAAAAAGAGCAAGATATTAAACTTACATTCATGAGTGGTACTTGCGCATGGCACTTCCTCTTGACAAAATATATATAAGTACACAATATATATATAAGTACACAAAATATATATAAGTACGTCATGTCTATACATGATAGCTTCCTCTTTTGCGGATTTGTAAATAACACTACATTTATGTATTTGTGATTTTTTTATATAAAGAGAAAATCTTAAGGGCATGGGTAAAATAGTAAACGGCTGACATATATCAAAGTATCCACGCATTTAGTTGATTTGATAAAACAATCTCTACTGTTTTAACCAAAAAATAAATAAATAAATAAATAATTTTTTTTATCAAATATAAAAATCATTTATCGAATATTTTCTCTTTTTCATTGTCATGCAAATGCTTTTGTTATAGAGAAGTGTAGATGTGTGTTTTTGTTTCGATGCAACGTGTTAGTGTGAGTTTTAATTTATCAATTGTTTTAGAGAAGACACTTATCTGCTGTCTTAAGAAGAGTGTAATAATTCGTTATAACTGTTAAGTTGTTCACACAAGTTGAACTATGGGAGGTGAATTACATATGGATCTCAAAATAGAGCATCTGCACAAAATGTATGTTAATTTTTCACTGATCCAGATCCTAACCCCACATGTGAAAGCGAAAGTATTTTAAAGAACAGGGCTAAATCTTCAACTTTTGCAACATTTTTTTATTTGAAAAAAAAAAAAAAAAAATAAAAAGAAAGAAAGAAATATATATATATATATATAATATATATATATATATATATATTATATATAATATATATATAGTATATATATATATTACCCCTTTTTTGAGACGGATTTTCACGCAGTTTTTTTGGAGATATTTTTTCCATTTCATGTGTGGTTTAAAACATGCGTATGAAGAAATTTTTGCACCAAATAGGTATTGAAAACTGGCCCGCTTAATGATGCTCAACATTCGAACAAACCTTTATTTGAATATTGTTTTTATTTGTCTCCAAACGAAGAAATCAGCGGTTCCATTTTCATTCGAGCTGTGCTGAATAGGTCCGTGGGTGCTATATACAACCGTCTACAAAACTTTGAATCACTTCCGAATAAACATGTACATGTAAGCACCAGGCTAACCAACTTTTCAAGTATCTTAGCTTCGGCTGGAAGTGCATGGGCAAGTAACGTGTTGAATATTAATTTATGTCGCTACCATAATTTTTAGCCATACTGTCTAATGCCACGGATTTATATTACATTAATTATTGTAATATAAATCCGTGCTAATGCTAGCACCAGAAATAAACTTTGTTTAAATTTTGCTACCTTTACGACTTATTACTGCACATTAAATGCTACTTTCTTCAGCTGTTCAACATCTAAATTACTCTAAAACCATTTTTAAAACACTAGTAAACACGTGTTTGTTAATAAATATGGATTTCTGAGACACGGTATGCCTTTAATGAGTAAGCGCGACTAAATCAATCTTAATGATATTTTCGTGTATCAATTTCTTTAACAAAGTATATCTATCGAATGTTTTATGGAAATAATACGTTATTATGCTGATGATTTATATATATCAAACAATTATGAATCTTAGCACTTTGTTTGATGCCAAATCTCATTTTCTAAAATGTTTAGAAGTTTAGGGATAGCCCTAATTTACCCGAATTGTCGAGCTAAAAACGAGTTTATATAAAGAAGTCACAAGGGTAAAATTACATTTCGGCTTTCATAAAACTTTTTGAATCTCATAAAAATGTTGAAAAAGTTAAGAACTTACCAAGTGAGTGACTTACTTGCTCTTTCACGTGTGGAGGTTATAGTTCGTAATTGAAGCATGCTCACTTTTATAATGGTCCATATGTAGTCCACCGCCCACCTCATTAAGGAAGTGTCGTTAATTTTAATGAACACAGTGTACCAAAGGTTGTTCGGAATATTGTTATACATCTTTTCAATTACTATTAATATAAATATTATCCGAATTTGTGATTCACTGTGACGATACCATTATGTTTCTAAAAGACTCGCAAAAAAGGTTTTAAGTTTCTCCCGGACACAAATTGAACAAAGGGTAATATACCAAACGCATACGACAGAAGCTTATGGTTCTTTGACAATAAGGTATAAGTTTATCCATCTATAAATGTTCAAGATGATATTTCAAATAATTTTGAATCATGTGCCGGAACAAAGACCAACCAGGGATTGGGCAAGTTAAATTCCAGTACACCCCTACAACTTTGTTTTTTTGTGCGGGAAGTGGCAGTGGGGTGGTACTACAAGCGAACTTACCCTATGTTCACGGAAGTATCTATTTATCATCATCATTTAGCTATTGCAAACAGTTTTCTTAAACCAGCATTGCTGTTTCTGTTGTTGTCTAGTCTGTTGATAATTTGATTCTTATGCCGATTTTAATATATATTTTATCCTTATCTCTGCGGTCAGTGCCCCTAACGGACTTCCCTGGGTAACTAATCAGAACAAAATACTAATTTCTCCACAAGAGACCAACTACTAGTCCGCCCTGTGGTGAGAGACAATCAATGTCAGAAAACAATAATTGAGCCGCGTGACGACAAAATCAACATAGTGGGTTTGCGACCAGCATGGATCGCATCCGCGCAGTCTGATCAGGATCCATGCTGTTCGCTATCAGTTTATCAACTTGTAATAGGGTTGGTTAGCGAACAGCATTGATCCTGATTCACAGGCTGGTCTGGATCAATGCTGGTCGCAAACGCACTCTATGTTGGTTTTGTAGTGACGCGGCTCAATTGTTAAGGAGATATTTCGTCTCACCACAGGATCCCCGAATTAAAACATTATCCGATGCTCTCCCAAATGATCCTAGTAAGTGAACACAAACTATGATATGATTGCTTGACATTCTAGGTTTGTTTAAACATCAAAAATTCGTTGAATTTATATCCCCCGCCGAGTACTTGTTATTATTAACACAACAACTGAAGACATAAGGCTTTATTTATATATTAATCATGGCATAAACAGTAATATTCTTTGAACTTGATAAATATTCAGGGCAATAACAGAGCCATAACTTTGTGTTAAATAGTAAAATCTGGAAATGCTATAAAGAAGTATAAAAAACTGAATTATTTTTTATATGAAGTTAAGAATATTTTATTATTTTTCTTTTAAACTTTGCAAGAAAACTTCAAAAGATTTTATCAAAACCATTCTTTGTATTCTTATATGAGAGCCACAATGGTATCTTTATACCTATAAGACAGTAATTTCAAATGCTTTGCAACTCAATACCATGTTTCCTCCTTATAACCACATTGTTGTTGTTATGTTATTTTTGTATCATATTTTTGTCATGTTAACCATGTTATATACCTATATATATATATATGTTCATGTATCATTTGATTTTTTCTAAACTTTGGAGACCAAAATAAACAAAGCAGGGGGGAATTATAAAGAAGTATAAAAAACTGAATTATTTTTAATATGAATTTAAGAATATTTAATTATCTTTCTTTTAAACTTTGCAAGAAAACAGAATTATTTTTGTTAAGAAGTTAAGCATATTTTATGATTTTTTCTAAAACTTTGCAAGTATTAAATAAGTTATTTTTGGTATGTAATAAGTGTTATTTTTACAAACATTACAATTTACCTATTAACCACTATTCTGTAAAAAGATTTCCCCTCAAACAATATTGTATTGTTCTCAAAATATTTAGCAACAGGTTCATACATTCATCAATTACTTTAATGTGAAAGACAAGTCAGTAATTGTCAACAGATTTATTGTGTAAGAAATATATGTTATGTGTTATGTTTGCCTCAAACCACTTTTTCTATACTTCTGAAAGATACATTGTTGTAATTACAAGTAAAAGTGACATAAATCTAATAAATAATTCAAAGTAGAAACTAAAGACAATTTATCAAGGTATTTGGCAGATATCAGACTCCTGTATATAAGCTTGGACAGTACTCTGGCAGTCACATACTAAAGACTGAGACAAAATAAATCTACCAGAGATCTAAATTATTGTCTACTTATTATTACAGGTATGTTATTTTCTGTTTGTTTAAAATTGTTATATTTTTCATTTCTTACTTTGTTATAAACTTTGTAATTTTATATGTCATATTAGGTTTAAATAGTGAACTGTTATATTTTTACATATTAAGAGTTAAATATGATACCAGTTTAGTAATTTTACAACATTAAGATTTGTAATACTTTTACTACGGAAACGTATAGCGACCACCTCTATATGTTAGTTAAAACATAATTTTTGACAATTTATTTAATACATATTATATACCTAACCAATTTTTACAAACTTACTTGATCTGAAATATTTATCTAGTAATATCTACAGCCCCTGCATGTTGGTAAAACAGAATTTAAGACGACAATTTATTTTACACACGATATATATTTGACAATATTTACATTGATATTTGATCTTGAATATACATCATTTACTAAATCTGCTGTTTATATTGCTGGATTCAAATTTATGTGACATTTTTCTGTTCATTTATATGTATTAGTTTTTATATATTGAGGTTTTTTATTCGCATACCTCTATCATTATAAAATATAATATAACATATTTTTACAATTTATATTTGATAATATGTTAATAAGCATAAAATAAGCTACTGAAGTAGTACCTGATGTAAATTAGTTATCATAGAAACCATTATATTTTTGTAAGATATATAATATATAGCTCAAAACGAAAACAAATTTACCATTTTAAATGTATGTACAGAGGATGATACATGAAAAATATTATATAAAAAGGAATATTCGACCAGTTGATGTTATTATAGGAACATAGATTCCAAAGCGCAAGCGATATTTCTTCTTATATTATGTGTGACACGAGAAAAGTCAAGACATTTGTATTTGATAACGGCAACAATTAAATCAAGTAATATTGTTAATCATATATAATA